CCCTTGTACCCGTATGCCACTCTCGAATAGTCGTAGCGTCCTGTGTAGTATAAAATCTGTCGTACTTCTCTCCAAAAAAAAACAAGATCCGTTTCCCCCCTCGAGTTCAGAGCTCATAAGTCGAGTTCGCCCCGCGTCTAAGCCTTCAACTGCGTCACTTCGTCCCTCACTGCGTAACCTCGAAACCTCGTCCACTGCGTTTACTCGTCGATACAGTCTCGACGAACCCTTCGACTTCGACGATTGTCGAAGAAACTGCGAACCGCGTCCTAGCTAAGTCCCCCCCCCCCCCCTTCGAGTCGTTTCCTTTCCTTCTACGATACGTCGAAGAGCTCTGCCGAGCTTCGATCGTCTCCACTAACCACCCCCAGCCTCCGAGTAGCTTCGACGACATGTCGAAGCCACCTCGTACCTTCCCTAGCGTTCGTAGCCTTTTCCGAAGGCGTTTCTCGTGTTCACTCGAACCGCGGGACACCTTGCTGCTAACTCCCCTCTCCCTAGACTATAATTCGTCTCTCTAGTCCCTTTAGGTCGCACCCAGGTTAGGGGTTAGGGTTTCGTAGGTCGTATCATTTCTGGAGCCCACCGCGAGGGGATCTCAGGCAAGAATTCGCCGCTTTCGGGTTTCCGAAAACGTCTCCAGTAGTCACCCGCTCGCAAGCGCGTGAGGCTGCTAGCCGCAGCGCCGCCGAGAACCTCGACAGCTCCTCTAGAACGCAATTGACTCCTTCTCCAACAATTCCCGGTGACTTCGACCGCGACGAGGAAGACGAGATAGACCAAGAACTCCAGGACGACTTCGACGAAGAACCAATCCCTTCGACCGCCGAAGAACGCACTTCTTCCCCCGAGCTTCTAGGCCTCACTACTTCCGACTACGACACTTCGACTCCTGAACTTTTCGAATGATCCGGTTCTTCGCCCGAACCCGAGGATCCCATCCTATCTACTTCGAATCTCGAACTCCCGACTCCGTCTTCTTTTCGTGCCCACGCTCAGCCGCCCATCGCATCCTCTTTGCGACTTTCAGTCATACCTACATCCGACCTGGCACCTCCGCCACCTTTAGCACCTTCGAACATAGCTTCGAACTCCAACTCCGCACAGCCCGCTCCTACGATTCCTTCGACTACTACCACGTCCTCTTCGAGCCCAGCTCCTACTACCACTACAAACATGAGTCAGAACACGAACACACCATTGATGCCCCCGCGCGGTCATTCGACGGCACCAAGCTTCGACCCGTCGGAAGTCCGCTCGCTTCGGCGTTACTTCCAGGACCTCGAGGCGTTGTTCACCCGGTGTCAGATTACCGACGAAGCAGCCAAGAAACAGTGGGCCGTTCGGTACCCTTTGATCGACGTCGCCGACTTGTGGGAAACCATCGAGTCCTTCATCGACGTAGCCAAGAGCTACAACGACTGGAAAGCCGATGTACGAGCACTCTATCCTGGCGCCGACGATACAAGAAAGTGGTCGCTAGCGGACATGGATCAGCTCATCGGAGAACGCGCTCGTATCGGGATTCACAATGCGGCAGACCTAGGCTGCTATTACCGCGACTTCATGGCCATCACAAAACATCTCATCGCGCAGCACCGGCTCTCCACTATCGAACAAAGTCGCGCATTTCTTCGCGGATTCCAGCCAGCGTTGCTCACACGGCTCGAGACCCGACTGCATCTCAAGCACCCCGATCACTACGCCGACGACCCGTATACCATGGCAGAGATTCATGCGGCGGCTACGTTCATCTTACACGGTACATCGAGCACACCTACGACAGCGGCTAACCAAGCTACCGCTTCGACGTCGAACACTTCGACAACGGTGCCCCCCGGGATAATCAAAACCGAAGACATCTCGATGATCATCGAAAGCCTGTCGAGGACGATCGCAACACTCATTCAGCCGACGACGCATGCTACACACAACCACGCCCCCGCACCGAGACAACAAGCTGCCATCCACGTCCACGAGAACAGCGGAGTTGAACAGACGTGCCACTACTGCGGCAATCGTGGCTGCAGGGTAGGCACCTGCGAGTTCGCGGAGATCGACATCCGGGACGGCAAGTGCAAACGAAACACCGAAGGCAAGATCATCCTTCCAAACGGAAGCTTCTGCCCCCGCACTATCCCTGGTCTCACGATACGGGATCGAATCTACGAGTGGCATAGAAGAAATCCCGCAGCACCCGCCGCTCCGACGATGCTCTTCGAGATCGATGATCGCTCGACTATGCAAACCTTCACGCTCAACACCAGCAGCAGGATCGAGGCGCTCGAGCGAGAACTCCTTCAGCTTCGGAAGCGAAGGGAGGTCTTCGACGGCGTCGAGATTCTACAGCGGAAGAAGCCCACGACGCCAGCCGTCCCGAAGAGCGCGGAAGCCTCGGGATCTGGTACATCGAAAGGAGTGGCGGCGCCCCCGAGCACTTCGACAAGCACGGCCCCGCCTCCAACAATACCAGCAGCAGCACCCGCGTCGTCTTCTTCCTCGCCTACGCAATCCACGTCTCGACCTACTACATCCGCTCCCCCAGCACCACCAGTACACCCCTTCGCAAACGCTCGCGACGCAACATACGCCCCGCCAAACGTTCGAAACTTCGCAACTCCGCCGAAGCCCTCGAACGACAAGGGCAAGGAACCAGCGTACAAGACCATCGTCCCCGTTATCCAGCCGAAGCTCGCCGAGGAGATCTTCCAGCGTTCGATGAAGTCGCCGTTTGTCACGCTAACCCCAGAAGAGTTGCTGTCAATCGCGCCCGACGTTCGAACCAAGTACCGCGACGCCGTCACCCCTAAGCGAGTCTCGACGGAACCCGTCGCGTCGGCCCACATCGTAGAAATCGGCGCCGACGAGGTCACGGCCGTCAACCAGCTCTCGTGTTCAGGTGCAACGTTGGAACCCGGTGCTACAATCGTCCCCGACCCATATGAAACCTATCTGAAGCACATCCCTCACGGCGAGCACCCCGCAGAGTTCACCGTCGCACGCGATTCGAATGCGATTCGTTCGATCATCGCGTTGGTCGACAACAAGGAGCAAATCGAATGCATCGTCGACCCTGGGTCACAGATCGTCGCCATGTCGGAAGAGGTCTGTCTCGGCCTCAACCTCCTCTTCGATCCTACTATCCAGCTGAACATGCAATCGGCGAATGGCGAGGTGGACCGGTCGCTGGGACTCATTCGAAATGTTCCCTTCCGCATCGGTGAGATCGTATTGTATCTTCAGGCTCACGTCATTCGAAACGCAGCATACGACATTCTCCTCGGCCGACCCTTCGACGTGCTCACGCAAAGCGTCGTCAAGAATTTCGCCGACGAGAACCAGACAATTACAATCCTCTGTCCGAACACCGGCGAAACTGTCACGATTCCGACGTACGCGCGAGGAAGATCGCGAAGCCGGCAGCATCCTCTCGAGAGTCGCAAATCGCATTTTCTAGCTTCGAGGAATTGATTCCCCATGATCAAGGAGAAG